CTACACTATATACGTATAATACGTACATCCACGGTTGATGTAGTAATCCCATGGAAAAGGAGTAATTAAATAGAACCCATCGCAATTACACGAAGCGGATAAACTTTTACCATAATGAAAGAAAGAACAAAAAAGGTAGCTCTTTGTTTGCTGGTCTGGGCTCGCCTTAAAATTCCCATTGATTCCAAAAACGAGCGCATAACAACTTTAATTGTATGATAACATTAATTTATATTGAAATTAGTTGGTTTATTATGACTTGTTTATTAATAACGTAATAACATCTCTTTTGTAGCCTACAATTATTAGCTCGTCAAGTGTAGACGTAATGAAGCATAATAGCGTATGGTGAAAAGAAAGCACCGAAAAATCTAATGGGAATAGTGTCTATTACCGAACTTGCATATGCTTGTTAAAATTTCTCAAGCATTCACTTTGCGCAGATTTATGCTCTTCACACGTAATACCATGAGCATGAGATGTTTCTTCTATTTCAATCCTTTTTTTGTTGTTGTTCTTTTGCTATTTTGTAGAACACTAGTTTACATTATTTATGAACGATACAGAAAGAGATGAATTTACTTGTGAGACGGTTCCAAGCAAGTTTCTCTAAATGCACACGCATCTCAACGACGTCTTCCTCACCATATACCGCCGTTATATAAACACTTAATTGCTTTCTATAAAGGGTACACACACAAAAATCTAGCACATTTCCCATTACACAACAAAATCCATACATTTTCGTTTTGTCAACATCTAAGTATGATTTCTTTAAATTCTTCTAAAACTATGAAATGGAAAATTTCAACAAAAGAGTGTGTATGTACTCCCAGAGGGTCATTTGTCAAATTTTTTGTCCTCACTGAATGTTATGAATTATCAATTATCAAATAAAAAATGTGTTTTATTAAAAAATAAAATATCAGTTCATTTTGGGACACACTTTTATTGTATTTGTATTTTTGTTGTAAATATATACTATTAAGTCTTAATAACAAAGTTAAAATGTAGAAGTTATGTATTATAATATTAAAAAGTCTTAAGATAAAATTTTAGAAAAAAAAATGGATTTTTTGTTTCTCAAATTAAAAAGTTTAAAAGGAAACTCCACAAATTTGTCAGTAAACTCACTTGAAAGGTCAATATTTGATATATATTTGATGATCAAATTATGATATGAGGTTATTGAGTAATTAAATAGAAAGTGAAGACGTGAAAATAAAAAGAAAATTTTCTATATTATGGTTATTAATTAATATTTCGTAATAATAATTATATCAAAATATGCTCAATTGAAGACACTTTGTGATATAGTCATATAAAATACATGAACACGTTTAAAGTGTTTGAGTTATATCAAGAAAACTATAAATACTTTCGATTAAGTTAATAACTATAATTCTGTAATGTTTCAGTCTTTTTCTTTTCTTCAGAAATATTTTTTTTGTTGAAAATTATAACTTAAGCAAATTTATCCATTTTGTATTGCAAATATTTACTAATAAGTCTTAATAACTAATTTTTAATGTAGAAGTTATGTCTTATAATATTAAAAAGTTTTAGAATAACATTTTGGAAAAAAATTGGATTTTTTAATAATTTAATTTTTTTGCTCGAATTAAAGAAGTTATTAAGAAACACCACAAATTGGTCAGTAGACTCTCAAGAAAGGTCATAGTTTAATCTTTGATATCAATATTTGATGATCAAATTATGATATGAGGATATTGAGTAATTAAATAGAAATTGAAAACGTGGAAACAAACAAAACATAGGCTTTATTTCGGTTATTAATTAACATTTCCTAACAGTAATTATATCAAAATATGTGCAATTGAACACACTTTGGGTAATGTAATCATATAAAATATATGAACACGTTTAAAGTTTAATAACTATAATTCTGTGATATTTCAGTCTTTATTTTTCTTCAGAAATATTTTTTTTTTAAATTATAAAGTTTATCCATTTTTTATTGCAAATATCCAGTTATTTCTTATAATATTAAAAATTCTAAGTAGAACATTTTGGAAAAATATCGTTTATTTAATAATTGTATATTTTTTTTTGTTCAAATTAGAAAGGTTATTTTAGGAAAACAGGAAACTCCACAAATTTGTCAATGGACTCAATAGAAAGGCTATAGTTTTATTTTTAATACGCATATTTAATGATCTAATTACGATGTGAACTTAATGAGTAATTAAAGAGAAAGTGAAAACGTGAAAACAAACAGAAAATTTGTCAAATTTTGATTATTAATTAACATTACGTAACAGTAATTATTTCAAGAAAATGCGAAATTGAAGACACTTTGTGAGATAATTATAAAATAGATGAAAACGTTTAATGTACTTGAGTTATATTAAGAAAATTAAAAAAAAAAAACTTCAAAGTATAAAATAAACTTGAACAAATTTTTAGTAACATTGAATTATGAGATCTAATAATTCCGGTTTATCTGTATTTGGAGTATAGTCTACTTAATGAATGAATTAAGTTTCATAAATTAGTTTACTTACAAATAAACTTAGATGTGGACAAAATAACGTAAATTTAAAACAACTTTTCCAATTACATTACATTTTCCGTTTAATTACATTGGAAATTCAATAATCATCGATTTCCGTGCTTGAACATGTACTTTGCATTTTCCTTTGTGTTCCTTCTTTGATAGTGCTCAATGTGAGTTCATGAATTAGCACTTGGGTAGTAAACGCCGACCAAGAACTTTCTACTAACTGTCTTCTTTCTTTCTTTTAATTTTTTCGCACAACGTCGCGTCTCTTCGTTGTTCACATTCCTCAACAATGTGCAACCTTTTATTGTAAAAAAGACCCAGTGAAAGCTATCAATCAGTAATTTTTAAATTTAAATTATTAATAAAACTAAAACTATTTTCTTTATTAGAAATAGTTGGGATGTGGAGATGGAAAATTGGATGTAAATAACGTTTGTTTTTATTGTTTGCGTATCCTTCTGTTGTTGAGATACGGATCAAAGATGACTGGAAAATACCATCCAATTTTGAAACAATAAGACCCAACCCCAAGATACCAGATGAATGGCAAAATCGATGTTCTTGCAATATCGATGCATAGAGATGATCACGATTCGCGAGATGTTCTTGAAAAACGTGCATTTTCCATTTGCGATCTACAAAATATGTTAAAATAAATATGAGAAAAAAAAATAACATTAATACCTCCCAAAAAAATAAATGTTGTAATCTAATCTTGGTTTAAGGAAAAAAAAACGATTTAATCTCTTCCGTACAACAATTACATCTAAATCTAAATCTGAATCTCCTACAATTCCATCAAATTTGGGCTATATGCAACGGTAAATTTGAGATTTCAATCAACTTTTTAGAAAGCATTTGGTAATTACTCAATTCTATGCTTTCTATGTAATTTGGTATAAAAATAACTACCAAATGTACTTGTTTTCATGATTATAGCTTGATAAAGCAGTGAAATATATAATGCTTATTAGTAATATTGTTTTTTAATGAATCTAATTCAATAGATATATTGAGTAGCAGATCAAATTCTCAATCGTGAACCGTCTTCACTTTCTCTATTGACCTTTCACCCATCGCGAAAGTTCCCATAGTAATGCGGATAGTGTCGCCACAGTTACTTTTTTTTGTTTGTACGTACTTAGAGAGAAAAGTCGTCTAAATGTACCGTGAATTAATCAATGATACAACTTTCTTGTACCTGTTTATTATCATTGTTAACTCTAATTCATTTTAGTATACGGTTCTTGCGAAAAATACCAAAAGTGTGTTAGAATTATCAAAAATTGTAAAAATCTACGGTACATACCAAAAGTCTATCGTAATCTACGGTGCTACGGAAAATTTCAAAAGACTACCGTGAACTACCAACATTTACTATGACATCATCAGTTATTATAAAATGTATTCTTTATAATCCAATAAATAAATTAATAATTACTTTACTGTATTGTAGTTAATTTAAAAACAATAGTAAATACTACAAACTTATCTCCTTGGAAAAGCCATATTTTTTCTTTAATTTGCATGTGTGATGAATGAATTAGCATCAGTGGTAATCGAGTAATTAAACAAAAGGTGAAGACACTAAAACAAATCGAAAAATCGTTATATCTCTGGTATTAATAAACATTACCTAACAGCTGTTACACCTTAAGATGCACAATAGAAGACCTTTTGTAAAATGTGCAGATAAAATATATAAAAAGTTTTATAATTTGCGAGTTAATCTGAAAAATTAAAAACAAGAACAGACCTCGAAAGGAAAATGATGTTTTCAAAGAAAACTATAAGATTTATGTAAATTTAATTACTCTTACGTCAAATTTAGTAACAACCCTGTAAGTGGTGAAATAAGAAAGATGGAGTAAATTTATTTACGATATAATTACAATAATTAATATCTCTGTAAGTAACATTAAAAATACAAATCAATAAATGTGCAAACAACTATATTCTAGAGGTTCTTCTTAAGCCAGTAACAATTTTACTTTCAGCATATGCAGAATTGATCTAATGTCTTCAGGGACTTAAAATAATGTTGAGATACAGTCTTCTCAAGATACCTACTAAGAATAGGACAAGTTTTAGATATTGTTTGTGGACAAGGCAAATAATTCTAAAAATTATCTGGTAGTAGCTTGACTTCTCTATGTTCACTATGATTGATTGATGACAGCTGTTATTTACAAATGTACACATTTACCAGTTGTATGTTTTCAATTTAATATACACCTATGGAACTAGTAGGTAATATTTGTTAATTGTCTTCTAAATCCGTGAAAATATAAACAAAATCTGCTAATGCAACAACAAAAATAATTAACTAATAAAAGTAAACTGTCTTCAAAAATAATAGTTTTGTAAAATATGACTAACAACAAATGAAATATCAATATTACCTTATATTATTGATAATGAAAAATATTAAATTTTAAAATGTAAATGTATGCAACCATCACATAACCAAAGAAAATAAAGTTGCATACACCTAGCAATGTGATTGATCGAAATTTCATAGACAAAATTTGGTTTACAGTCCGTCTTATACCTTCAGTTTATTTATTTACTTTTGATCAATGAAGTTGTAACAAACTTACAACTGTCTCTTCATACATAAACACTGTAAGTGTAACCTATATAATACAATATGAATTCAAATTGAAATTTTATAATAGAAATTACATAATGGTATCTAACCTCAAAAGCTTATTGATTTTCGTGTGCGAATAGTTTCAGATACATCTCTCCACCATGGGTAACACTGTATCTGCTGCTGAGATAGCAGCGACGCAGATCGTGCACCCAAATCTTACTGCAAGTGAACCACAGAAGCCCCATCATCATGAACACATGAAGCAGTATGCACAAGGTGAAATCCCTCCGGAATGTCCCATGCATCAGAAGGCTGCACCAGCTAAACCGACAGCTGCTGGAGAATGTCCAGTGAAACATGATAACACTGATATTAACCCATTGAATATGGTTAGTTATTTCATAATCAATTTAATTGAATGATTAAAATGTGTTATTATTGTAGATGCCTCCAGCAAATCAGCAACCTGCTCCGGATCAGCCATTCTTGCTGCCAACGGAACGTCAGGTGTCATCTATTCCTAAATCTATTGTGAATGAGGGTGAGAGTGCATTCTGGGTCTATCCTAGTCAACAGGTTTGTTCTTCTATTACAAAAAAAATATGTTGATGAAATTATATATATTGTATTTTGTAGATGTTTTGGAATGCCATGTTAAGGAAGGGTTGGAGATGGAAGGATGAGGATATTAAGGAGAAAGATATGGATGATATTATTAAGATCCATAATGCTAACAATGAGCAAGCCTGGCAAGAGGTTCTTAAATGGGAGGCTATGCATGCTTCAGAGTGCTGTGCACCAAAGTAAGTTATTAGTGTATTAGATTTATATAAATAGATCAAACTAATTATTACACAAGTTAGTTTTTATCTTGTTGTTAGTTTTAACTTGCATGGGGGATTAATGTACGATCCATTTGTTTCTATTTCAATAGCAGTCGCGCAGTTATATCTCTATGTCTTTAAAACTATAAACATCGTTTTTACAAGAAATTCCTAATGGATATGTATTCGCGGGTCATTTAAAATAGATTCCGGGCCTGATACGGCCCACGTGCCGTCATTTTGAGGTATTTTATTAACATTTTAAGTCATATATTCATAGAGGAAACTAATTGTTACATAATTTAGTTCACTATCATTGTATTATGGCGTGAATTTGAACTTGACTGCAGGCCAAATGCACTATCTGTCTCTTTTTCTTTCAATAGCAGCCGCGTAGTTATCTCTATGTCTTTAAAACTGTAAGCATCGTATTTACAATTGCTAATGGATATGAATTCGCTGACCATTTAAAATTTGCTTCCGGGCCTGATGCGGCCCGCGTGCCATCGATGTACTTAAGGTATATTTGACTTGCTTAAACATTGTGTATTGAGTAGTCAGATTTATTCCTGAAATGTGTAGAAATATTAAGCTTCGGAGAGAGACAGCAGAGATTGCAATTGATTGAATTGTTCCAGATTGAAGAGTTTCGGAGGGAAAGCTTCTAATTACAGTCCGAGAGCGAGGATCAGGCAGATGATGGGTTACGAATTGCCTTTCGACAGGCACGACTGGATTGTAGACAGGTGCGGGAAGGATGTGAGATACGTGATCGATTATTACGATGGCGGAGCTGTAGACAAGAACAACCGTTTCGCGTTATTGGATGTTAGGCCCGCGATGGACAGGTAACACTATCTCAATTTCAGTTTGTTTCTCACCTTATAATTTCCTTATTTTTTTACAGTTTGGATAATGTGTGGGACAGGATGAAGGTGGCTTGGTATAGATGGATGTACAGTAACGAATAAATGCAGCAGCAGTAGATTCGTGTATTTATTGGACGTTCGATTGCGGCTTTAAATTATCTGTATGTAATTGAACTGAAGAATGCGCTCGTTCTTAATATTATTTGGTTTTGATTCAATAAAATCACCGTCGTTGAATTGAGATTTTTTTTTTACTATTTATTTCTCCTTTTCCGCTCGCATAAATTGATATACGTTTTGTACGTTAGTGGCAGTTATTTACGTCTTGACACGCTCAATGGTGTGGAAAATACGCAGAGGTGTGAGATTTATTGTTTGTTCAGCAAATGTTAGCTTCACATTCTTCTCTATCTAGTTTAATGATAAATATTTATATAATATATTTAAAAAAACAGGTAACAATGGTTGGTGAAGTAAATTAACCCTAATGGGGTAAAAGTGATTTATTGGGGGGTAATAAGGACGTTCATCAAGTATTTGAATTAAAAACAAACCCTCTTCATAATGGGGTAATATGGAAATAAATTGATACATTTTGGGGTAATTGCTAAGAACGGGGCACTTTCTTACCAATTACCCCATTCTTATGGTGTAAGCGATATAAATAGTAAGTTTTGAATATTCATCGTAATATTATTGTAGATTTCAACTGAAAAATGGAGAATTTCAATGGAATAAATTATTATTTCTGCAAATAACCTAACATTTTTAGTAAGTATGAATTAAAAATACTATGTCAAACAATTGTATACGTACTTTTCCTGTTTAACTTGCGTAAGTCAAAGTAGGTTGGCAAGTAATAAAATAAGTAGGGTCGTGATCTTATAAAGGAAAATTTGTAAACAATCATCTCCTAACGCAGTGTTTCCCAACGTGGGGTAATTTAATTGTTAAGTGGGGCAATTATAAAATGGACACGTCCACAGTTTTGTGTATTTGTTACATAAGAATTTTCGAAAACCTTTGGTGAGACATGACACAAAAAAGATTGGGAACTACTGCTGTAACGCATTACGTAATATTAAAAGCAACATAATACTTCATAGTAGATTCTAGAAAGGATTGAATTTAAGCTAATATTTAGTATATATTTAATTAAATGGAAAAAAGGGGCTGCAAAAACATAAAATTTAAAGAAATTAAAAAATATAAATGAATTTAATATTTAATCTTGTAAAATTAATTGCCTATTTTTTCCACCATGCAATCTTTAAGGTGGAAGAAAAAGGGTAATTATCTTGATTATATGAAAATAATGCAGATTTATTTTTATTTCTATTTATGTAATCTAAATTAGTTTCAAAGCTAAAATATAAAGTTTTATAGATTTATTTTAACATTACTCTTTATATCATACTTATATTCATTATTTAAAGTATTTTGAAACCAGAATCATTTATTTGCCACCATTTACTTTTATTTAGTAATATTGTTTGATACGAAGTTTGTGTTTTTTTTGTATGTTTTTATTTATATAACGATAATAAATTTCAAGGTAAAGTATAAAGTTCTTAGATTTAAAATATTCTCAAACTGCAGAATTTGATTAAATATCAAGTCTTCTTTAGTATTATAATATTAAAATAGTTTATTTATTTAATATTAATTAATTTTGATATGTAAAGCATAAAGTTTTATATAGTTTTTTTTTATGAGCTATTATCTTGATTATTTTCAATGATTTATATAAGTTTTTATGTACTTAATATTGATTAGTTTCTAAGTTTTCTATATTAACATCAAACTTTTTTTGAAAGTGTTTTCATAATTTGAATCTTAACAGAAAAAAACAATAAGCTTTTGTTAGAAAGGATCATAAATATTTTAATTTCTGGAATAACAACACAATGTACTAAAAATAAGAAATGCTCTTAATGTAAATGTTTATTTTAACAAAGGAGCAGGTGTTTATATTTGAGGATGTCTTCGGCAATTACGTTGTTACTAATGCGGTTCTCGTGCTGAGAGGGTGTAATTCCAGGCAGTGCTTAGCATGTATTATCTGATTGTCGGCAGAATAAAGAAACATTGAGTGTAGCATGTGAACGTCTGAACGTGAAATAGGGGTTGGAAACTTGTTGACATCGTAGGTGCGTGGGTGGTTGGTTCGCGTCCGAGATATATCATCTGGTCGATAAAGCAGCCGCCTGTTGGTGGTTCTATACAAGTAGCACACCCTTCGAGCACGCGAATCTGACAGACGATTTTTTCAGTGGACCAAATGTGAATTTTCTAAGTAAATTAGGACCAATAACCGGACGTAACATAAACCAGGGTGGTTTTACTGCACGTGCCTACACCCTGGAGCAGAACGCGCGCTGTGTTAACTCGTACTTGCCCGATTCCGTAATCCGGCGAACAACACGTCCTTCTCTGCATCTGTGTGCGTGCATATGCTCGTATATATATAGGTATACACGTATATGCATGTTTGACGTTTTGACGTATCGCCATCTTAACAAACCACTTGTTACCTCCGACGACGTGTTTTGTTTATTAATTTAAAAATAATCGAGCACAGGAACACGCCACATCCGGCACATCCGGCTAACCACTTCCGGTTTGGTGTGTTCCGGTGAGGAACGACGCCGCCGACACCGCATGATGATTGGGTGAGTGACACCAGGACCTTCATTCTTATTGTTTTCAACCCCTTTTCTCTGTACAAAAAAAACCACAAGCCTCTCCCAAAAATTCAAAGGGAAAACCTGCTGCAAACCTGATAATTATGTTATTCTCTACAAGTACCTTACATATACATTACTTAGATCAAATTTCGTCCTAGTTTTACTTTTTTTTTTCTTCATCAATATACACCCCATTGTCACGTATGCTCAACCCCTCGATAATCAATTAGAGCTTAATTGACGCATCGCATTGCGCGTTCAACAACACGCTGCAATCTAAAACATTTCTGTTTTCAAATAAGCGTCAATCTACGATTAATTAATCCAATATGTGTTTTGATGCAAAGACAATAATCAAAATTCAAATTTGATCCATCCATAGCAGCCAATGAATCGCCGTCGAAATGGCGCCAAGTGCCTATAATCTGAACCCCATTGGTTGTTGCCATGGTTACGTATACAACTCTACATAATCTCAGTGATGGCAGCATCCATCAATATAATAACAACGTTAATCTTTTTGATTGATAGTACATAATTTATCAATATAGCAAGGTGGATGCGCCGGGTTATTTAAACATAGTTTTCAATGACAAATAGAAAATTTTGTTATTGGCAAAAATTTAATTAAATTGTTATTCTTAATTTGTAATTTTATACAATGACGAAAACTTGTAGGTTTACATGACATTCTCATTTTATATTGATAAAATAAATTGAATTGTATTACTTTTTATATGGTTGAAACATGAAATATCGTAAATGCAAAATACGTCGTAGGTCGTTGAAGAAAATATAGTGTACGTCGTATAAGTTTTATTTTTTCAATCATTTTGTGTTTTATGAATGGTTAAATTTAATAAACTGTGAAAATATATAAAGTTATATTGGAGGAGTATTTTTGGTTGATGGACTATTGATTTACAAAGTCCTGTTTTAAATTGTTAACATAAATAGTAGATTCAGGGATGTCTGAATAAATGATGGATGCGCCGGGTTCATAAGTTTATAGTAACGTATGTAATGTATGTTTCAGTAAACCATTACGTAACCTGAATTTTACATATGTCGAATATGTAAATTATTTGAGTATTATTTCATAAGAAACCACAATATTTATTATTATTACACGTTTTTAAGTTTAACTTAAAAAGAAACTGCACTATTTATTATTCAATATATGTTCAGTAAAACTCTCACATTAAGTAAATAAAGTATACTGTAAACCTTTACGTAAGTAGAATTTCTAAATGACTTAAGTGTAACTACATAAGAAACTGTACAATTTATTATTATTAAATGTATGTTTATTAACACCACCAAATTACGTGAGTAAAGTGTACTGTAAACAATTACATAACCTGAATCGTACGTAAGTCGAATTTTTAAGTGATTTAAGTGTAATTATATTAGAAACTACGTTAAATTTTTCCTTATTCAATTTATGTTCAGTAACACCCCCAAATTACGTAAGTAAACTATTCCGTACGCCATTACGTAAGTAGAGCTTGTAAATGATTTAAGTTTAACATCAAAAGAAACTGTTTATTATTCAATATATGTTCAGTAAATCTCTCAAATTAAGTAAGTAAAGTATACGGTAAACCTGTAAATAAGTTGAATTTTACATAAGTCGAATATGTAAATTATTTGAGTATTATTTCATAAGAAATCGCAATATTTTAATATGTAAATTACTTAAGTATAACTATATTTTTTTTTACAATTGTATGAATGTTCTGTAACATACTCAAATTATGTGAATTATGCGTTCCGTAAAATTTTACGCAACTTGAATTATAAATAAGTTGAATTTGTAAACGTCTTAAGTGTAACTTCATAAGAAACTGTTCAATTTTTTATTATTAAATGTATGTTTATTAACATACCCAAATTACGTGTGTAAAGTGTTCCGTGAACCATTACGTAATTTGCACTGTACGTAAGTCGAATTTTTAAATGTTTGTTCACTAATATTATGAAGTTACGTAATTATGCGTTTCGTAAACCAATTACAATTTTATGTAAGTCGAATTTTGACTTAAGTGTAAATATATAAGAAACTGCACTAACTTCTTTCTTATTGAATTTATTATGTTCAGTAACACCACCAAATTACGTAAGTAAAGTATTCCGCAAACCATTACGTAAGTAGAACTTGTAAATGATTTAAGTTTAACTTCAAAAGAAACTGTTGTATTTATTATTCAATATATGTTCAGTAAAACTCTCAAATTAAGTAAATAAAGTATACTATAAACCTTTACGTAAGTTGAATTTCTAAATGACTTAAGTGTAACTACATAAAAAACTGTACAATTTATTATGATTAAATGTATGTTCACTAACACCTCTAAATTACGTGAGTAAAGTGTACTGTAAACCATTACGTAACCTGAATCGTACGTAAGTCGAATTTTTAAGTGACTTAAGTGTAATATATTAGAAATTACGTTAAATTTTTTCCTTATTCAATTTATGTTCAGTAACACCCCCAAATTACGTAAGTAAAGTATTCCGCAAACCATTATTTAAGTTGAACTTGTACAAGACCTA